ACCAGCTAGACATGGGACAGAAGCTGTCCAACAATGGACACCCTTGTCCATAAAGCTGAATTCTTGAACATCATTTTCGACATTTTCCCTCAAATGACTCAATCTCCACGTCCCTCGCCTCTCATTCCGCTCAAATTACCATTTTTTTTTTTCAAACATGCCTTCCTTGTCCTATGGAAATGAACTGCCTCTAGCTTGGGGAGCCTCTGGCTGTAGTTTTCTGAGACATTGCACGTATAATAGGCAAACAAATGTACTAATATCCCCTTCATGGTACATAGAGCAACTCGCTGACAAAAAAGTTGCTGGTTTTATCACAAGAGAGAAAAGGGACACAAGGAACCGCTGAGGTCTCTCATTTATCTCCCCCCCTTGTGTTTCTGGTCTCTTGTGAAAGACCCAGCTGCAGCAGTGCTGAACAGCAGCAACTTTATAGGCTGCTGGTTAATATGAAAGGGTTTAATGTTAAAGCTGCAGTTATCTGAATGTAGAATTGTACAGAAGGCTTTTATTGTTGATTTCTATATTGTATATCTGTTGCATTTACAAAATAAAGGCATACTCTAAAGAAAACCGGCAGAGAGAGAACCAGATTTCTTAGAAAATTGCAAAAACAAATATTATCAGCATCACATTTGATCTAAATAGGACTTCTGTCTCTGGTTCTTATGGTGCAGAAAAAAACAATACCACCATGCAGATAAGAACCTGTTCAGGTTAAATCTCATGAGTGTCCATAGTGACATTTTATCTAAGCTCTTTCTATTTCAGGGTAAATGCGTGATGTTTACAATCTGTAATAGATGTGGCACTTCTTGGTTGCAACACATATCTTGCACATTGACTTCTGCAGAAAACAAGAACACAGAGTCCCACCCAAAACCTTTCTCTGTGGATAGCATGTGAAATCAATTTGCTTCCAACCTGACTGTGAAGCACAGCGGAGAAGATATGATGATGTGGAGATGATTTATTGGATTGCTTTGTATTCAGATCGCTGTATACTCCTAAATAAAAACCAGAAGTCCTCCAGAAGTTAAATCTGTTAGAAATGGTTTCCCCATAAAAGGAAACATCATAGTAAACAGACATTCTATTCTACATTTCTATGTATTATTGTGTGGTAGTATGCGTCCTTTATTCTATTATTAAATTTTTTGGCATATGGATAAACATGTTTATTTCCATTTACATATGACACATTTTTATTTTTGTTAAAGATGTTAGGGTTGTATTGCCTCAGGGGTTTGTTGAGCTATTAAACCCCAACATTTTCATAGCTTGTCATCTGAAAATAAGAATATGAGACATCGAGCTATATTCATGTCTTGCTAAACAAGCTGAAGAAGACGCACAGTAACCCTGAAGGAGCTGGAAAGGATGACTGTTGAAAGAACAACTATCAGTTGGGCATTACAAAGATTTTGATGTCCAAGCAAGTGGTAAGTAAAAAGCTTTTGTGTAAGTGAAAAAAAAAAAGATGCCAAATTTGCAAATTGCTACAGCAACAAATTTGGTACATTAAAGATGTAGAAGAAGCTTCTGTGGTTTGATGTTAAGTGCAAAATATGATCTTACATGAAATCTAATTTCTAACTGTGCAAAACTGGAAAAGACATGTCCATGTGTACAGCTGCAATGGCAGCAAAAATATGGATTTGCAAAGCAGTGAGTCTGAAGTGCCGATTAAAGAACTACTCCACACTTTTCAGATTGTATCTGTTAAAAAACGTAAAAACTACGTTCTATTTTCCTTCAACTTCAAAATAAGGCTGCATTTTTTTTTTTTTTTTTTTTTTTTGCTGGACTATAAGATGCAGTCCATTTTTTTTCAATAAAAGATTCATGATTTTGTCATCAGAAAATTATGGAAGAAGAGAAAATGCAGAAAAAAATGTAAAGGATGAAGAGTTTTATAGGGCACTGTGTATGATACGATCAAAAAGAGATTAAAATATCAGGAAGTTTCCTCAACTGTCCACAAAATCTCTAATGTGTCACAAACAGTTAGGGGGCCTTAATCCTGCTTATTAAAAAGCTGCGTGATGAGAAATATCTGAGCAATATCCTGGTTACATCCTTTTACCAGCAAGGATCAGCATACTTGCTCTCTCTTTCTCATCTGGGACCCTAACCCCAAATTACCCTCCTCCCCATCCACCCACTTTAACCCCCATATATCAATTTCCTCTAGATGTCCCCCCTCACACAACAGAGGTAACTGGACTCTTTCCTTCGGTTGTTGAGTGGATACATGAAACAGAACAACACAATGGGCTATTCATTAAAGTAAGGAAACACACAAGGACACACACCAACATACGCACATATCTGCTCATGCACACAGACCTTCATGCATCCTTTTACGGCTATCAAACAGCCTCCTCCTCCAGCTGCAGTCTACTACCCAAATCTGCACATAAACACGAGTTATTTTGTGCAAGACACTAACCCTGTTCTTTCTTTGGGATGGGAAAATTAAAGGGGATAGATCAATGTCTTGTTAATGTGTCTTTAGTTGTAGGATGAAGTAAAGCTTGAGTTGCTGCAAAACTGCATGATTTGAATTGATAACTTAGTTAACAGTGCACTAGATACTTGTGCAGGGCTGGTGATCCATTTCACTGAGGGCCTTTAGAGGCACACCTGCTCTGTCCCACACAGGTGCATAAAAGACAGTTATGATGCATAATACAGACTAATATGGAAAAAAATTAAAACATATTTTAAATATCAAGATATAATCAATAAAACTGTTATAATAATTGTGCTTGAAAGTTTACGCTCCCTCTCATTAAAGGAAATTATAAATTCACACTAGTTATTTAAATAACATAAAACGGAAAATGTATTAATAAAATAAAAAATACCAAACAATTATTTAGTAAAATAAAATATTGATTTAGAATTTTTATCTAAAAAAAGAAAAATGATTAAAAAAAAAGAACTGATTAAAGTACCCTTCTCATGAACAGTCAACAGGTGCAGAGGTCTGACTGACTATTTTTTAAACATTACAGAAAACACCTGATTTCAGCGGTCGTCTCTTTGATCGTCAACATTTCTTTTCAAGAGCTCCACCAGGCTTGTTTACTTGCTTTATTTTTTAATATATATACATATTTATAAATAAAGTTATATTCAAAATCAATGTCATGATTTCCGTTTTTCATAATTGTTGTTTATTATTACTTTTGTCAAGTTCAATTTAACTTACAGGCAGCTGAAATGTTTCTTTCTTAGATGGGAACGTATGTAAACCTTCATATATTTATATATATATTTTAATATATTTTATATATATACATATTTATTTATTTATTTATTTTTCATTTAACCATTGAAAGGTGAAGAGAAAGGTTATTATAGAAGGGTGGTATTATAACCACAATCGAGATGTGCTGTTCTCTAGCTAAGACTGCCTCAGTATTAGGAGGCATAGCTTGCAAACATGTTTGACCCAATGATTGTTTAAAAGCTCAGCTAATAAAGACTTATAAGAGTTCAGCATTAATGCTTCAATGATCTGTTTTAATGCTTTTGTTTAACTTAGAAGCTAAACACAGACATTCATATTTTTTCCAACACAGAAACACTCTCAGTGGTAAGTCAAATAGCCATTCATATATTTAAAATAACTTGAGTTTTTTTTTTTTTTATAAAAAATAGTCTGCACAGCCGGAATTATGAACGAGAATACCTAGTAGGCTGTGTTATCTTCATTTAAATTTTACTTTGGGGATTTATTAGCAATAAGAACATAAGGAAATCTAAGACCTTTGATATTGAAGTGCATAATTAGCCCACTTAAAGAAAAAGTTTAAATGGCTAATGTCTAGCTCCCCCCATCCCTATGGTTCATTTTTAGAAACACAGAGACGCTTCACCACAAACAGAATCAGGTATGAACACATAGGTCATTAAGATATGAGGTGATTAACATAGGCTGAAAGAATGTGCTGCTAAAGTCAATACTTTTCATAATTTTACTATATATCAGGGATCATTATTTAACTAATGTCATTTAGAAGAAATAACATGATCTAGTTTCATTGAAAAGTTGGGCTGAAATAAGAAAAGGAAATTATTTATTTAAACTAACTTCATTCAAATACAAAGAATAACAGTAATAAGTAAAGATACCAGGAATTGGTGTGCTTTGCACTGATAGAACTCTGAAAATATGTAGATGTCACGTGTTCTTTCCAGCAAACAGACCACCAGCTTTCTTCCTCATAGGCTTTTCTCTTTGATATCTTCATTTCATGCCATTATCTCCAACTGTTTTAGTTAAGATCAAACCCCTCCCTTTCTCTTTTTTCTCTATCTTTTTTATTTGATCATAGCTGTTAACTTTCAGGGAAATCAGATTTAATTTTTGAAAGCTTGTAAGGCTTTAATAATCTTTTACAATAATTTGATTTAAAACATCTCCATAAGTTTTTATGATAATTTTTGGTAATTTAAACTGGAAAAACCTTGAGCTGTTTATCGCTTTAAAACAAACCACTTTATGTAGTATCCAAAATAAAGTTTTAAACCAAACTTAAGAGAAAAAGCTACAGTGGAATTTTCTCTAAGTAGTTTCTTCACATTTAAATATTTAACTTTATTTTTTTTAAATGAGCTGAAATGTAAATTGTTAGGCTAATTTTTATCTATACAGTTTTATAGACATAAATACCATAAATTAACTGGTATTTTTTATTTTCCTACAAGGAAAGCGTAGCTTTGTGTTATAATACATGAATGTTTATTTATTATAAGTCATTGCAATGGCAATAAAATAATCTATAATAAGAATATGAGTCGGTATGATGCAAAACATCAAAGCTTTATCTATGTCAGGTCTTTGTTAGACTAAAACGTGACGAATACATTTTTTTTAAGACGCGTGAAACGGCAAGTGCATCCATCTCCTTCACGAGCTCCTAAAACACGCTGCGTTTTCTTTCCATTTCTCTTGTATACGCCCATATGTGTGGCCCTATTAAACTCACAGCAGCCGCTCATCCTCAGCCGCATCCTGAACCAAACTCCCGGAGTTGCGCTCTGAAGGTCCCCGCTGCACCGCACCATGAGGCGGACTGTCCCGTGCGGCTCCCCGGGCCACACCGCCGCGCTCCGGAAGGCTCTTACTCTCTGTGCCAGGGATCAGTGGCAAAGCAATACAAGACACAAGCCTTTTTACTATTTTCATTCCTTTTCCCCCCCATAGATGTACACAGAACTTCTTTTTGTTCATTTTTTTTCTTTTAACTGGAGAAGGGGGCGCTGGTTTTGATCACATGATAAGAATTCACCTGAGTTAGGAAAAAAATGTTTTAAAAAAAAGGAAAGAGGAGGAATAAAAGAGGCACAGAATAATCATTGTCAGGACTCTTATCAGAGTCAACATTCATTGCTAATGAAAAACGTGGTGACTCTTGGATTAGGGGCCGGTGTTAGTCGCATGCCGGAGATACAAGGGCTCATTGTAGTGAGGAACAGCGCTTGTATTTGTGTGTGAGCGGCCCATGATGTCCCCTCTGGTCTGTCCTTTACGTTTATATACAAGTGCTGTTGGCTTTTAACGAGCGCTCATGTGTCAGTCTGTGGAAAGGTGTTGATCCAGTTAGAAAACACGCGAGACCTACAAGCTGCGTGATGTGCCAGGCCACAAAACAAACACCTGCCAAATACAAGCATGCATTTTAGATGCTCTAAAATGGAAAGAAATACGCGTTATCTGTTCATATTTAATGAGGTGAAATTCCCATTTTTAAATTCTTTAATAAGGCAAATAAATGCATCCCCCCCCCCCAAAAAAAAACAACAACATTAGGTTAAGATTAACAAAAAGGTTTCATTCCAAACACATGTTTATAGGGTAAGTATTAAAGATGCTTAATAAAGGATTTTTCAGCCTAAAAGACAATGGTTCATCAAGAAAAAAACACATTAAAAGAGATTATCACCAGAAATCACTGTTGACCCTGATAAGGCTTCACACAGCCTACTTTGTTCTATAGATCTGTAGAGAATAAGATTAAATACATTTGATGCATTAACAAGCTAAATATATCCACAAAAACTACCTCGGTTAAAATGTGGCTTTTAACAAAAGTTTTACCTGTTGTTTTAAAGTAAATCATTAAAAAACTGATTTCAACAGCAAAAAATTAATAATTTAAGAAATTTTAATTATAGTCATTTCAAAGAAGTAAAAAAAAAAACCCCACTGGACTTTGTTTCCAAGTTTAAAGACTTTTCCCTTCCTATCCAGGAAGCTTTTTAAATAAAAATAAATAAATACATTTTTGAATTGAAAAAGCTTTCTTGATGGGAAGCAAGACATCTTCAAACTTGGAAACAAAGTCCCGTGGATCTTTTTTTTTTTTTACTTGTTTGGAATGCAAAATTACTTGTTCTAGGAGCACGGCTACTTCTCAACGTTTTCACACTTTGGGCATAAAAAACATTGTATATATATGTTGATGACAGCAGATATTTTCTTTTATGTCACAGTGAAAATAATTAAGGTGGTAAAGTGCATTTTAATTTAAACTGATAAAACAAACTGTTCAGTTTTTGCCAATTAAGTTGGTGTAATACTGCACATTTTGTTAAAACTGATTTCAACTTAACATTGCTCAGAACAAAAAATATGTTTAATAGGAATATGTTTCAGAAATGACCAAGAAAAGTAAAATGCTGTCATTCAGTAAAGTTTGTTAGATTCTTATAATTCTTCTCAATAGATTTTTTTTCTTAAGTTAAAAGGTAGAATTAGAAAGGTTTAAAGACATTAAAATGTTGATAAACCTATTCTAATAACTTTATTTTTCTTCACAAACAAAGTCAAAGGTTTTCTGATTTAAAGGCTCAGCTTTTAGTCAATTGCTAAAACTAGTTAAAACTGGAAATAAATGGAAGTTCTTGCTCAAACACAGAGACCATCTTGACTTAAAGTCAAATGTTGGGTTGAAATTGTGTTAAACTCTCTGAGCTGGAAATTACACCCCACTAAAAGCCAGAGTATTGCAGATGTGAGTCTTTAAACATTGCCATTTGTTTTAGTGTTTCTATCAATACAAGCCAGAAACAGCATCTCAGTTTTATGTTCCTGTTCGAGCACTAAAAATAAACATGTTAACCAATAGATAATATGATTTACTGGGCAAATAAAAGGGAACTGCAGACATTTACAACTTTTGACTTCATCCTATTTGACTGAAAGCCACATTGGAAAGTGAAATAGAAAATTCTCATTCAACTCCTACTAGGATGAAAATCCAACTACAAAGACAGAGCATATAGGGGTTCTTTGACTGATTTACTGTAAGAAAATCCATACAAGTGAACTAACTTTAGCCCAAACTGGTGAAAAAATAAGAGAACTAAACAAAACTAACAATATGAACCAACTCATTGTTGTTCAACATTGTTAAACTCATTGTTGTGGTTGTTTAAATTAACCAGTTTTATAAATATGTTGTTATTTTTAAATTAATTTCAATGTAATTTAAAATTTTAAAGCATTATATTTCACTAAAACAAAACAAAACAAAGCAATAAAACAGGCAAGGCTCATTTTATAAGTTTTTCTTTTTTTTTACATGTATGCATGCAGTATTGGGCTTTATTTAAGATAGTTTGTTTTTAACAGATTATTTGAGACATGGAATAAAACTGATATCTTTTTTTATAAGATAGATAGATAGATAGATAGATAGATAGATAGATAGATAGATAGATAGATAGATAGATAGATAGATAGATAGATAGATAGATAGATAGATAGATAGATAGATAGATAGATAGATAGATAGATAGATAGATAGATAGATAGATAGATAGATAGATAGATAGATAGATAGATAGATAGATAGATAGATAGATAGATAGATAGATAGATAGATAGATAGATAGACCAATCGGACTCCTGCATCTTTATACATGCGCTCTGCCTCTTTAAGAATTTCCCAGTTTCTTTTTCTTTTTTTCCTCCTGTCCTCGCACAAGGGGCTCTTTAAGCCCTGGCACAGACATACAGAGCCAGCATTCATTCTCGGGCTGCGAACGAGGGGGCTGGGGAGCGAGCGTCACTTTGGAAACTCGGGAACTCACGGATTCTCGTGCAAAACCGGCGACCTCCTTTTCTCATTCCCGAAGTAAGGCGCTTAGCATTTCAAACCTTTTGCTCTCTGCTGATGGTGGCTGCCCTGGCTCCGAGATTTGATCATTTATCTTCTTCAAAACCTTAACTCCAGAGCAGAAATGTAATGTTATGATTTGATTACTGATAAAGAGATGCAGGGTTATTGTATTTATAATTTTTTTTTTTTTTTTGGCTTTTGGGCTTTGAGGTTTTGGTCTTCCAGGTGTTTTTATCAACATCTTGCTCCAAAAAGCTTTTATTATTTGATGCATTATTGTTAGATTATTACTTTAATTTGTGCAATAAGTGCTTCTGTTTCACATTGATTCCCTGATGTGTTTTTATTGCAACGTTGACCAAATTGTTTTTTTTTTATGGTGTCCAACTGCTGAAACTCTATTTTGCGCACTTTTAAACTCTCTTTTATACTTTAAATTTAATGTTTCTGCTCGATGGGTTTTGACTGGCCTTACAGTCTAAAAAGAATAATAACAACAAAAGTTTTGGAGCAAGCAAATTAAGGCCAACTTATTGGCCAGTCAGGCGGTGATAATGACATCCCATCGCCCGAATTCCTTATGCCCGGAAAATGTGCTTATGATACTCTTCAATATAACCAACAAGTTCATTTTTTTTTCTAAAGCAGTTTAGACAATCTAAAATGTAGAGTCGTTTATTTTTTATTATTTGCATAAGCGTCACCAGCAAAGCAAAATGCTGAGCATTTGTTTTTCCTTTTACGCGCAGCATTGAAATCTCTTGGGACCCAATGACAGCTTGCAAATTGGGACTTGCAGACCAGGTGGTTAGCGAATATTTAAAATGGACAGGTGGTTGAGCTTCTTTCACCTTTTTTATAGGAATGAATATCATCGGCACCCATTAATTAGGCTACTGTCTGTAAAACACTTATCAATTCCTGAAGGTATCTATTTAGAAATCCAATCAGCACGAAATTGTGTTTGCAAGCGTCCATAATTGCGTAGTTCAACAGCCTCTTTGTTGTGCACAAAAGTTCGCCTTTACGAAGGTTAATTTTAAGGGAGGGGTAAATTGATGTTTTTTTTTTAAGTGCTGGTAGACTTCTTCCAGTTTTACAAATACGCAGTGTCTCGCTTGCGCAAGTGTAAAGGAAACGCGCGCACTCAAGGTTAATGTTTCCATCACCTCGCCAACTATTATGCACCAGAGCAGAAATCCGAGCTCTGTGCTGCTGAAAGTACTAATCCTACACGAAACTTAAAAAAAAAAAAAAAAAAGCTCCAGATTTAGAAAGAAAAAAACAATATTTTCCTTTTTTTTTTTCTTTAGGGTAAACTTTCATTTATGTTTATTTGATACGTTTCACAAAACAATATGACAAGTTATATATTGGAGCAGAAGTATTTCATTAAAATGTTTTTTTATTTCATGTTTTCCAAGTGAAACAAGTTGTGAAATAGTCCTGAAAATCTTCTAAGCTGCTATAATCAAGATACAGAGTTTGGTGAAAAGATGGTGGCAGGGTCTGATTGGCAAAAAAAATAATAATAATAATAATAAGAAGAAGAAGAAGAAGAAGAAGAAGAAGAAGAAGAAGAAGAAGAAGAAGAAGAAGAAGAAGAAGAAGAAGAAGAAGAAGAAGAAGAAGAAGAAGAAGAAGAAGAAGAAGAAGAAGAAGAAGAAGAAGAAATAAACAAAAAATAAACAAAGAATAAACAAATCATGCACTGGAAATTCAGTCAATGAAATAATTATTTGAAATCATGAAATTACAAATTGCAATTTCAGAGGTAACCAGTTCATCCACTTGGTGGCGCATCTACCCATCTAAGGGTTTGCAATTATGCTTTATCAAACTTAATTAAAGGACTAATGTATTTTGTCATCTCAACTTCATCTTCATTTGTACTGGTGCCATGATCATCCCTATAAGTTTGCTTATATGCATTATGAATTTAATGAATGGAAAGCACAGGTTAAAGAGCCACACTGTTTATTTACTTAATGCATTTATATTTTTTAAATATATCTTTGCCATTTATTAGCTTTTCGTAGAAACCTGTTCGAACTGCACAATGAGCACTGGATATTACAGTAAAAAAAAAAAAAAAAAAAAAAAAAAAAATATATATATATATATATATATATATATATATATATATATATATATATATATATA